TATATTAACTTAATTAAAAACAAATTTTTTATATTAGTTACCAACACAACACCAACTAGCTTAAGCAGATTTCCTGAACAAGAAGATATCTTTTTCACAGGTAATGACTTGAAAATTTAAGGAACTAATAATTTAATTGATTTTTAAAGTCAATTTTAACGAAATAATCTAAATTCTTAATATAAACTATTGTTTTCAGAGAGTGGTATTTCGAACAGTAGTAAATAAGCACAACAATATTTTATTATTTTATTAATTAACTAAATTTTTGGGTGACCATACAGCTGTTTGGAGTATTGTTAAATACCCACCAGTGGTCTTGAAATTATTTTTTATATTTAATTATTTGAAAATAATTTTTTGAAACTGCAAGTACCAATAGTTGTAGCTCAGAGTCACTATTCATTAGAAAACTTACCCAAAGATGTATTTGATTCGTATGTTTGACTTTGGAATTTTGTTAATTTGCTGTGAAAGTTCATTAACAAATTCATTTGCTATGTTATATTAGAAAGAAATCATATAATAGCTGTAGAATAATTTAATTAATTAATTATATTTTATTTTTTATTTAATTTTTTATTTTTGAATTGTTAAATTTTAAAGCTATATATTTGTAGAGGCATTATTTATTGCATGATTTTATTACTCTTTATTGTGTATAGAACCTTATCAAGGTACCTAATACAGAGAAAGTCATGCTAATGTTCTTACACAATTCGCTCAGGCGACACTGGAAAGGTGAATAAATATTTCCATACATATTTTAATCCAAAATAATAAAATGATAAATTATGATCAGCTAAAAATTCAATTAATAAATAAAATATATAAAAAAAATTTTATTAGAAGAATTCGAATAGAAATGAAAATACAACAACAAAAATGTTAGTTAATTTACTCAAGTTGGTACAAGTACTCATCATCAGTGATCTTAGAAAATATTCGATTTTTTTAATTAGTTTATAGTCTGTAAATAATTTGTTTGGACTGCAAGTGCCAGGCTTAGTACTCGTGTCTGTCAAATTAGAAACAATGAGCTAAGGCTGCACAACCTTTCAATGTTCAAGTTTTTTGTGACTTTTTTTATTTTTTAATTATTTATTTTATTCTATTTTTATTATTATTTATTATTAATTATTTATAATAATTATTATTTATTTTATTTTTTTGCCGTGCTTTATATTAGAATTAGCTTAAAAACTATAGATTTATTTGGAAATACAAGTTCAACCAATTGAAAGTTAATTCCTGAGGTTATCTATTTTTATTTCTTTTCTTTTTTTTCTTTATTTCTTTGCGAACTCTTCTAACTTTTAAATAGTTTTCTTTTGTCACAAAAAACTTTCTACAAAAAAAAAATTAACATTAAAAAATTGTATCAATGTAATTTACTACTGTTTAAAATACTTCATTATTATTTAAAACATCATAATATTAAATTTGTTATATTATAATATTTTATATAAATTTATTATTTTAATATTTTTATTATTTTACAATATTAAAAATTAACTTTTTATATATTTTAAAGGTAATAGCAATGTTCAACAAAAAGTTGAGAAGGACACAAGCACTCGCTGTTTACAGGTAGCTAAGGCCTGCTGTAACATTGCAGATATAAATCAACGCTTCTACTGCTTCGAACAGTATTCCTGTATGCAAAATATAGCGAGGATAATGTCAATCTGCAATTAAATTAAGGATAATACGCTTTTAGCCGTATCTTTTGATAATAGAAACTATCGCAAGCCACAAATGAAATACACAATATAAAAATTTTGAAATCAGTTCGACTTATTTGTTATAATAGAAACGGAATGCCTGTAAAAATATAAAGATAGCATGTAAATAATTTCACCTTAAATCTAAGTCAATAGTCTTAAAATATATATGTACATTGTACACATAAAGTTAAATAAAGGTAGATATAGTTGTATATACATAGATTTTTTCAATAAAGTCCAAATATACTTTATTGTATTTAATTTTTTTTTTGTTATTTGTGCACTGCATTCCGCTGAAAGCTTATTAAGGTAAGTATTTGCATTACTAAGAGCTTCCGCATTTAAGTATCATTTCATGTGTTCTCTACTTAATGTATAATACGTGCCTTTACATACATTTTATGTTGCCTTATTCTCTACTGGCTTTTAGACAAATACTTATATTGAATTTACTCAACAAATCCTTCAATTTGAAATGAAACTAAGATACTTATGGCATTCCCTAGACATTCACTATAATTAGCTATGCCAAGAATGAAATCCTTGTAATAAAATTTTTATATATACGAGTATTATTTGAGTGAACTTGGTTTTTAGCATTATTTTGGAAACGTTAGGTAACTTTTTCTTCTATATATTTAAAAGCAGTATGAAGATAATTTTCATTATTAACATTACTATATTTAAGCCCTGCATATTCCTTAATAACCACAAGTATTTTCGAATCGAACGAGACTCGAAGTAACTGCAAGATTTTTCTGTTTTTCATTGTATAAAAAAAACTTTTTAAATAAATTTAATATCCTTCAGACGTTATCCTTTTATACAGGAGAATTTGTATTAAAAAGTAAAAAAAAAAACTTACCGCTGCCACTATCGTAACTACGCGTTGTAGAACCGCTAGTATTTGAACGTTTTATCTCACGTCGACCCATTTTCGCTGTGGCTGGTGATGTGTTCAGTGAGTGTAGTTGCTGAAGTTGTTGTTGTAATTGTAAATGTAATTGCTGTTGTATTTGCTGTTGTTGTTGGTAATGGTAATGGTGCGTATAGTGTGTTTGATAAATACTCTTCGGTGAGTTGCTGGCCGATGCGGTACCTTGTATATTTGTATCAGCAGCAGCAGCAGCAGCAGCAGTGGTAGAGGCGAACAATGGTACGCCCGTTATTGTTGTCGGTAATGAAGGTGTTGAAGATGTTGCAAGCAACGCTAAGGGCGGAAATTGAAAGTAATTTACTTGCAATTGATTGTTATGGGAGTTGGTTGTTGTTACAAATTTCTGAGTTTTATTACTTGTTGCAGTTGTTGTTGTAGTTGATGTTGTTGTTGTTAATGTTGTTAGTGTATCAAATTGCTGTGCTTTACTATTGCTGCAGTTGTTGTAATTACTGCTGACGTTGTAATTACTACTGTTATTAAGTTTGTTGACCGTTTCTGGAGAAATTGCTGCTGTAGCTGTCGATGTTATTGTTGTTGTTCCTGTTCCTGTTATTGTTGTTGTTGTTGCTGTATCAAACGTGCGATTTGTGTTACTTATG